CGCTGGGCGCGTGTGCGTGCGTGCCCAAGATCCCGAGAGGAGAATGGAGGAGAAGGGATTGCGGTGTGGCCATCCCCCCTGGGGGGTGATTTCTCACTTTCTGTCTCTCTGTCTTTCTGGTGAATGCATGCACCCTATAGCAAAAACCTCTCAAAAAAAAAAAAAAGAATTTTTAATTTTATCTATTCATTCATTAAAAAAAAATGGATCAGAGAGAGAGAGGGAGAGGGAAGGTGAGAAAGCAAGCCACCAGGTCCAGGACTTGAACTGTGGTCAGCCATGTGAGGGTGTCCAGTGCGTTAACCACCATACCACCTGCTAGCCCCCATGGATCTGGCTACAGGATCAGCCCTTTCCTTGACTTCTGAGATTAGGGACATTTATTTACTTAACTATTTACTTTTTTTCAACTGCCAGAGGGTATGACAGAGAGAGAGAGAGGGACAGAGAGCGAGGGAAAGGTAGAAAGCACCCCCTAGTGGGGCATAGTCCCACTGCAATATCACCTCTTCCATTTCTCTGTCTTGTCAGGACTGGGGGCATGCACACATCTGTGTCTGGAGTGTTTTTCTTTTGGAGAGATTTTTTACTATAGTGTTCACCAGGGAGAGAGATAGAGACAAAGAGACAGAAAGTAAGAAATCACCCCATGGGGGGTATGTCACGCCACAATCCCTTCTCCTCCAATCTCTTCTTGGGATCTTGGGCATGCACACACATGCATCTGGTGTGAGTCTCAAGCTTCTGTGTCTGGGACTCGAACCACCGTTGACCATGTGGGAGTCCAGTGATAAAACTATTACGCAACCTGCTTGTCCCTTTGGAGTGTTTTTCAAGCCAGCAGGGCTTGATTCACACTGCAGTTGGCTGTGTGGTATCTGTCTCCCTTAACCAGTAGGGTATGGATCTGACCCAGGGATAGAATTATTTATATTGGATTGGTTTTTCTAACAAGATCTTGGCAAAGAAAAGAAGGATGTTTCCTCAACTCTTGGGATCTGGAGGGAGGACCCCTCCACTGTCCCCTCTGCCTGCTGCCACTCAGTTCGACTGGGCCTGGGGTCTTCTGTGAGGTGTCCGAGTGGTGGGGAGGCAGCAGCCATTCTTCGCTGGCCATCAGCAACTGCACAGTCCCCAGGGCACACCCTTCTCCCTCAGCCCTTGGCAGGCTGTGTCCAGAGAGGGTCTTTCTTTGTCCCGTCGGGCCCAGCCTGGCTGAGCGTGGCACCACTCACCAATGGTCTCACAGGATTTGTGAGCGTAAATGAGGGCCATGGTGGAGCACAGGGACACGTGGGGGTGATGGCTGATACCTTCCAGGTCACTGATGGCATCCTGGATGCGTTCTGCAAAGAGAGGCCACGTGGTTACACGCTCGCAGGCTCCAGCCATGGAGGACAGGAGACTGCGGCGAGCCCTAGCAAAGCTCAGCCATAGCTGGGCATCCACACAGCTTGACCCAGAAACGGGACTAACTGGCCTGAAAAGTCCCCAGGATCCTGAGTTCCCTGAAGGGGCTACAGGTCCAGGCTACCAGGGCTGGAGGGCTTGGAGCTGAGAGGTGTCGCTGTGAGGACACACGGGGTACCTGGGAGCCTGGGATTATTGGCGGGAGGTCAGCTCCGGAGAATAACCTCAGGGCATTCAGACACCAGTTACCTTCATCCTTCTGCGGGCCTCGCATGGGCCAGGAACAGCTCCATCAGCCCTCAGGCCAAGTCGCCTGGATGTCAGTGAGTCAGCACCTGAAGAGGCACCCTTCTCTCTCTGCGCCCGGACTGTCCCTGCCTGCACCCACGCCTACGCCTACCACTTCTTTTCCTGCACCACCAGCTCTAGGCTTCCAAGCCTGGGATTAGCTGGGCAGTTACACAGTCACTTCTCTAACCAATCACTTTCCAGATCAGGAAACCGAGATGGAGAGCGGGGACTATGAACTCCGAGGCCTCTGCCAACTCTCAGTAGATAGGGATTACACAGGTTCTGTGGATGAACCTGGGAAGCCAGTCCTGGAAGTGAGACCCTTTCCATGGGACTCGTGCTAGGATGTATCAGGCCTCCAGGGGGAGCCAGAGCGTTAAGGCTGGCTCGTGCCTGGGATCAGGAGGCCAACACCGCTGAGTCCTTACCTTCCCTGAGGACTCCATAGGCTTTGAAGAACTGCAACACTGGGTCATTGCTGAATTTCTCCAGGCCCATAGCGGCGGCCTGCTGCACGTGGCGGAAGTACCTTTCCTGACTGTAGAAAATGATCCCAGCCTGTGGGGAGGGGGGCGC